CTGTGCCGGCCCGGCCCGCAGCCCCGCTGGGCTGGGGCTCCATCGGCACCCGGTTCGGGGCCACAGGCGGCTGGAGAAGAAGCCGTGCGGCCCCCGGCTGCAGCAGTGGGCAGGGGCACAGCTGCCAGCCCCACACACCGACCACCGGGGCCAGGGGGCTTCTGTAGCTTGAGGCTGGGACTTCCAGGCTGTCCTTACCACGAGCTTGGCAAACTTCCACAGCTTCTCCTTCCTCACAGCTTTCTCCAGGTCTGGCCTCTTCAGGAAGTCAGCCGCGCGAAGGAGCGTTGTCCGAGAGGCCTGGGGAGCAGCAGAGAGCAGCAAATAGCCCCACAAGGCAGGGCACAGGAGTGTCCCAGTGCCAAGGGCTGGAGGAGGCTGCAGCCTGCAAGCCTGCGTCAGGGCAGGAGGCAGCTGAGCCCCCTGCCAAGGCGCAGCAGCAGCCCAGGAGTCCTCACCTCTGCCACATGCCGATTCTCATCTTGGCAGTGGAAAAAGAGTGGGAGCAGGCTCTGGTACACTCGTTCCTTCAGGGGCTTTCTTCCTTCTTCTTCTGCCGAAGACATCACTCTTTGAAGGAGAGACATGGAGAGCAGCTGCACGTGGCTATCAGGCTGTATGAAAGGAAGGAAGGAAAAATGACCTTATCATTGGCTTCTTATGGCCCACATCGGCACAGGTCTGCAAATGCACAGGGCACAAAGTGTCCGGGCAGCAGGCAGTGGCCGTGGCTGGGGCACAGAGCCTTACATTGTCCAGGAGTTTCAGGAGCGGCTCAGCCAGCTGCAGGGCCCTGCGCCAGGATATTGGGGTGTCTTCTTTCAGGAAAATATGGCTCAGAAGAGCAGTGCTCATCCTGGCCACGTCACTGTCCAAGTCCCACAGGAGGTGCACTAGTCTTCCTGTCAGGCTCTGAATTCTTTCGGCCTGTGCAGAACACAAGTGTGTGAAAACCCGGGCAGCTGCCGCAGGGCCCAGAGGCCAAAGGGCTGTCCCAAAGCACTCGGGCAGCTGAAGCAGGAGGCAGGAGAGCTGGGAGGAGCTGCCTCAGTGCCCAAGGCAAAGGCCAGCCAAGGCCAAGTGACAGCATTGCCCAGCCTCATGCTGCCCACACGGCCTCAGCTGCTGCCCCCTTCTCACCATGGAGGGACGGTCCTTTAGCAGGAGGAGAGCCCTGAGAACCTGGTGATGCATCTCTGTGGAATTGTACCACAGGTACTTATACAAGATCTCCATTAGGCTGTCACCACAGTCACTCAAGTCCAGGCAATCTAGGAGCTGAAAGGCACAGGGCAGTGAGAGGGGAGCTGGCCGGCAGGAGCCTGGAAGTGCGCAGGGCTGGGCCCAGGCAGCAGCACAGGGCGGCGGGTGCCATCCCAGGCAGTTGTGGCCATGCCAGGGGACAGGGCTGGCAGGGAGCTGAGCGAGGTAGTGCTGGCCATCAGGCTCACCTCCACAAGGAATGCCATGGCAGAGACATCCCAGAGTGGCAACGGTTTGCTGAGCACCTCAAGCAGGTAGCTTAAGATGCTTTTGCACAAGTGGGCAGATGCACGGCGCATTACCCTGGAAGGCGGAAAATGGCAGAAAGAGTCTCAGCAAGGGTGCGAAAAACCTCTCCCAGGACTGACTGACACAGTTGTCCTATTGCCCCAGCGCCCTGTGAGGGTATTTGGGCCCGTGAGATGTGGCTGCTCCTGGGCACCCTCCTCTCACAGCCTTTTCCAGTCTCCTTGGCCATCCCTCGGTGACGAGGCCCTCAGGCCCATGGCCACGGGGACTGTGGGGGGGCATCCCAGGCATGGGGCACAAATGTCAGAGGCAGTGGGGAGAA